ACCCCACGACATTTAGTATTTCCTTAGAGGCTGAAAAGAATGGGGCATTGTGCAAAAAACTGCTTCTGTCAGAATCTGTCATCTGTAAGAAAAGGACGTGAACGGTGGGAAGAGTGTTATTACCAGAATTTCCCAATCATCTGCTGAGAGTGGTTCCACTTCTACTTGCTGGCAGGAGGAGACGTGGGAACAGGGTTCAAGAAATACCTGGCAAAAGTAACACCATTTCAAAATATTCAACTTCTTATTTTTAAACATAAAAGCTCCATCTTTAATTCAACTAGAAAACTGACATCTTCATGATACATTTTCACTGTTTTGAACATACGTCTTCTTAATGACATTAGGTAATTTGTAAGCAGGAGATGGATATTAAACAGATTGGAAGGGGATTGTATTGGGCATGTTTGGGGACTTCAGCAAACCATGAATGGAAGTGAATGTGAAAAACATCAAGAGCTTTATCAGCTGATAACAAACAATTAATTTTCAACGCATGACCACATAAACATATCTGAACTTTTTAATTTTTATTTTTAGATGTTCTGGGCTTTGGAATGCTGAAAAATTCACTGGGTTGTGCACAAATTTAGATAAAGCAGAAACAGCTGAACAAATGAGGAAAAAGTACAATACAAAGGTAAAACCAGTTTCTTTATAAATGGTTTCACAGGAAGCAGCCCCGCTTCCACAAGCAGTTTTAAGGTCCTGTGTATCAGGAGGAATGATAAAAACTATTGTGGCTTAGGCTTTTCAGAAAGCATTAAACATGTATTTCAAAAGTAATTTTTTACCAAAGGTTCCACTGGACAGAAAGTAACAATTCTCAAACAGTATCATGTAATAAATTTTTAAAAAAACTTAAATTAATTTTTTCTTGATATAAAACTAGTTACCTGTCCTACAAGAGATTAATTTCAGGTCAGTTTTTATAAAAGTAACAATTGATTTTAAATTAATCTAGGTCCTCAGTTTGAAGCAAAAGTTGAGAGAAATAACTTTTCCCCAACATGGTAAAGAGCATATTATTATCAAATACAGAAACATGCAATTCCTGAATCCAAAACAATGACAAAACTACATAATTATTAATTTATTTGATTGTACAGATGATTATTTCCAGGCAACACTGGGTGAGGTTTTCTTAGGCTTCCTTTGTCAATTGTTCTTCTGTTGAAGGCCATTAGTTGGTAGAATTAAAAAGAGTAGTTACCTTGCCACTGAACTAGTAAAGTTCTGCAAATAGATACAACATTTTTAGAGAAAATATACTAATAAAGTAAACAAGGTAAGATAATACACTGCTTTGAGCCACACTTTGATGTCTTCTATTTTGCTGAATAAAATTTTCCGAATGAGAGAATAGACATATATGAATATATTACACAATAATGTGTGTCGTAATACTTTTCTATTCTAGTTTGTTTAAATCTCTTAACTATTAATATAAAAAGAAACAAGCTTTGGATGTTGAGATTTTAATAGTCCCACGTCAGAAAGTTCTGCCTGCCTCTTGGGGACCTCTTCAACTTCTGTCCAGTGGAATAATCGTTTACAAGAAGTTTAACACAGAGTCCAAGAGTAAGAGGTCAATTTAAACACACATTCAGAGAGGACACATGGGCACATATGGTGAAGGGAGAAAAAAATGAATTAAAGTTTAAACCCTAAATAAGTCAAACAAGAAGAAATATGCAGTGTTAACAATTACCTTAAAACAATACGAACTCAGGGAAAATATTCCCAAGAGATAATTCCTAAATAGTTTAATTGCTTAAAAAGGAATTTTTCTAAAATTAATGGCACTGTAGATGGCGGCTCTAATGCTACAAAGACCTACCTACAAGCCTATCATAACATTATTTATGAGCAGATATAAATGAAGTAACTGTCTAAATACATGAAACAAGAAGGTCATAGCTAACTTGTAAATTACTACCTTCTCAGGTATCTTGCAATATACTCTTTATTTAAATAAGAAAAAAAAGGCTGTATTTCAAACCTGTTCTCCATCTGTAATGCCAAGTTTCTCTGCTAACTGTCTGTTAATCTCAGCAATATTTTCACCCTTGTGTCCTCGATGCCTGATTTCCATCCAGCTCAAAAATATAGGTTGATGACCACAGGATACTTTCACAGCTTGGCCCTATGAGTTTCGAAGAAACGAAATAAATTAACATCAAACAAGCTAAATAAGATGACTATTAGTCAACCTAAACTGTATTTGATTAGAGAAACCAAAAGAATTGAAAATACTTTATAGATTTTGCAAGCCCTATTTTAATTAATATTCCCTAACAATAACTTGCAGCATTTACGACGTGTTAGTAAAGGGTATTTCTATTAGCAATGACAGATTTTTTTAAAATTCTGGCAGACTGTCCAACTTCTTATTAACCACAACCTCCTTCAGAATTGTCTTCATATTACCTATTTGCACAGCTCTCAACACAGAAGTACATGTTGGTTTCAAACAGCTTTTAAATTTTATGGACTGTTTTTAAGTAAGGAAAATAATTCATTTTCCCTTCTTCAGTACTATAGTCTACCAAACAAATATCTTACAGAAATGTGTACCTATGCATTTCTATTTCCCAGCTGAGGAAAAAACATAAGCATATGCTTAAACATGCATTGTAACATTCGCATGGACTCCAAGAGTGCTTTCAGGAGCATGGGAGTATTTAAAGTAAGTCAATCAGAAACTCAGACCAAAATGATTTTATCATTCTGTTACAGAACTGCTCACCTATTTTGATTCCAAACTGAAGAATCTTAATATGTTGTCAGTTTCCATACAAAGAGACTATACTCTACATTGTATCACTCAACTAACATTTTCTGTATTTTTTAAAAAAAATTACTATTTTTATGAAAATCTGGTGACCACAATAATATCCACTGTGGATGCTCGACAGATTTACTTGTTAACATAGTGATGTTTTCTGTTTCGTTCTCAAATGTATCCTAATAATTTAAAATATTTGACATTTTGTGAACTCAAAACGTTTTCAGAGAATATCCACAATGGTTCAAAGATCCCTTTATCAAAGGTACTATTTAATTTACAGGACTTCATGTATTCACACAGACAGTCTCTCCCAGAGTGTCTTAACCTTCACAAAATGTTGAGTTTCGTAGACCATTTGATCACCCACTTATCTAATACCTTCTGCAATTAGATTTAGCTTTTGATTCCATTTATTTTTTTTATTTATTCAGTGTAATTTATTAATATAATTATTTATCCTGCTTTTAACATTTTTATTCAAGAGTTTGCATTTAATATGCTGTATCTATCAAGATTTTTGAGATCACGTATCTTCAGTAAAAGCAGGAGCCTGCCATAACTAGCTGTGTCCAGAATGACACTGCAAGACTTCAAACCAATTAGACTTCTTTTTCCTCTTCTCTTGCCAGCAAATTTCTAAAACATCTAGAAACCATAGCAGAAATTAAGCTAACATTTATACCGGCTTTCTTGCAACACCACCAACCTCCTGCTACTACCCCAAAGGAAAAAGAGCAGGTTTATACAAGTCTAGATAGATGATTTTGCTGTTGAGAAATGTCCCTTTTGGCCTTGGGAAATTAGCAGATTGCACACGCTGGGTGAGGCTGGCCTGGCTGAGTGGGGCTTTGCCAGAACTGTGGCCACCATCCTCACTGATGAGCTTCGCTCCCATATTCTCATCTTCACCTGCTCGTTTTTGCCATTTTTCATCCTACCCATTCTGCTAGTGGATCCGTAATTCTTGTGTTCATCGCACAAGGGATGCAACCAGGCTTTGCTCTTGTTTTCATGGGTGCAGTGTTATTTAAAATCTCAGATGCGCTTCCTGCAGCTGAGCCATGTACTTAACAGGGCTCTGCATGACAGGAGTCCCTTTCAATGAAGGAATATCTAGTGAAAGATTTATGGTACGCCGAGAATGACGATTGTGCCTGCATTTACCACCTTACCTCCTACCTGAAAAATTAATTTACGCATTATTCGGTTAATGCTGGTGAATTACTGCGGAAATTGGTATAAAATACATAGTACTGAGACACCGATGCCAAGAGCCCCAGACTGCGTTGGGAGACACACTCCCACCTTTTCCGCGTTTTACTACGAAGGACGGTGACATCCCCGAGCCCGCCCCCCC